GTTCATATATGAAGTGTAGTTGTATATATAGAACGGTAATACTAAATAGCCGTTGAAAACAATCGTTAACTAGCCGTTCTAATTTATTATTATTATTATTATTATTATTATTATTATTATTATTATTATTATTATTATTATTATTATTGTTGTTGTTGTTGTTGTTGTAGCCTGTGTAGCCTGAGGCCCGCTAGGGTGAGAGTTATCTCCGTTTTATGGTAGTCCGTTTAAATTTGAACTTTTAGGCCTGGACCTTTAGCCAAAGTCCGCTAAAATTAGCCCAAAATCGCAAGGGTTATTCCGTTTAACATCTATATAATTGATATACAAAGGGCTTATATTATATTGCAAAATTTGGCATGATTATAGAGGAAACATAATATAACAATTTTGGTCCAATTACAATGCAAAATGATAATTTAATACCCTTTTTTTTTCAAGAATTATGCTATGTTAACGTAATGGATGATCAAAATGAGGTGAAACCTATAATGCTTGTTTATATTGAAGATAATAATGTGATGTGTAAATAAAATAACTAGATCGTGCGTCTAAATTTATGACTCAAACAAATATAAATAATTTATTGGGTTTCGACTCGTTGGATAATTAATTCTGGTTGGAAGCACGATTAGATAAACATATTTAACTCAAAGGTCAATGCAAATTTAATTCAAGTTAACTCTTCTCAATATTATTTATATAATTAAATAATATAATTCATGTGGGGAATTGTAATAAAAATTGATTTTGTACCGATTTTACAGTTTCATTTTCTGTAAGTGGAAGACTTAGGAAACTCTCAAAACCATTTTAAGTTAAATCGAAAATTAAATTCTAATATGTGAAAAATGTAAGGTTGAAACAATGAGTTTAAGTTACTCAAATTGTTGAATTTGTAAAATATTATGTCTTTGTAAAAATGTTTATATAATCCAAACGAGATCTGATCATGTAGCTTGCATGATATAACTCTAGAAGGGTTCGTTGGGACGAGTAGTGTGTTAGAATTAACGATGCCTTAGTTAGGTTAATGATAGATTAAGTCCACATCTTGCTTTATGTAATTCTCTGTTAGTGTTGCAACATATAGTACAAGCATGTTGTTGCCTTTTTACTTTTTATTAAATGTGCATGTGGCCCATGCAAGTCTCTTAGCTAGTTAGGGTTTACCTTGGACATATAAATATCCATGTATGTTTCCCTTTTCATGTTAAGATGAATACAAGAAGTTAATGCTCTTTGAATATGGAATGTCTCGGTTCTCAAACTCTTTCATGGTACCAGAGCCATGATCCTCCATACCTGTATTTAATTCAGATACCCTTTATTTAAGAAAATCAAAAGATCTATCTCTTTTATCCTTAGTCTGTTCTTCGTTTTTTTTTCTCTTTCAAACATGGCAGAATCTTCATTCTCCACTCCCTTCACCATTACTCACACAAATCCGTTTCAAATCAACTCAAGCTCAAATATACAAGTAATCCAACCGCAGTCACATATCATCACCACCAAACTCTCTGAAACCAATTATTTAATTTGGAAACAACAGGTACTAGCTGTTGTCAAGGGTTATGGACTCGATGGCTATCTCTATGGCACTCTTGCAGTCCCCTCAAAGTTTATCACAAAGGAGAACTCTGAAGATCTGGAAGCAAATCCAGAATATCTTGCATATCAGAGGCAAGATCAACTACTTGCATCATGGCTGCTATCATCCATTTCAGAAAGCCTACTTGTTCTCTTGGTTGGTGTTAAATCTGTACATGAAATGTGGAAAACCTTGGAAATGAACTATTCCAGCCAATCTTTAGCAAGACAGATGCAGTTTAAACTTCAACTCTCAACAATGAAGAAAGGAAATCTTACCATGAGAGAATACATAAGCAAAATCAAGCTATGTTGTGACCATTAGCCTCCACAGGTCAAAAAGTCAAGGAGACATATCAGATCTTGCATCTTCTTGCTGGGCTTGGGTCAAAATATGACTCAGTGGTGGTAACAGTCACATCTAAACCTGACTCCTTCAATATTAATGAAGTTTGTGCACTACACTTGAGCTTTGAGTCCAGGTTAGAAACTGCTAGTGGTGTAACCATTGAAGATAATCAAGTTCTTTCTGCAAATGTTACCTCTCAAACAACTAGAAAGGACTCCAACTTCTCTACTAACTCATCTGGAGAGAGAGGTAACCAGAACTTTAGAGGAGGAAGATCAGGAAGAGGTAGAGGTAGAGGAAGGTTCCATCAACAAACAAGAAATGCTTGTCAAATCTGCCACTACACAAACCACACTGCAGATAAGTGTTACTATAGAGCTGATTTGAACTTTGTTCCAACCTCTTCTGCACAAAATACTCAAAGAACCTTCTCAAGGAATAGAAATCAGAACTTTCAAGCAATGGTTGCACAACAAGATGCCAATTCAGTTGTCTCAGATGGAGCTTGGTATCCTGACTCAGGAGCTACCAATCATGTCACCTTTGAAATGGGAAATCTGAATTCTGCAGCTGAATATCAAGGGAGCAACAAAATGAACATGGGAAATGGCACAGGTCTGTCCATTACACATGTTGGATCATCTTATCTTCAGTCAGACTCAACCTCAACTGCCTTTCTCATGAAAAATCTCCTACTTGTTCCCAATATAACCAAGAATTTAATAAGTGTCTCTCAGTTTGCTTTGGATAATTTAGTATATTTTGAGTTTCACCCTCAGTTTTGTTTTGTTAAGGATCAAGCTACGGGGGAAGTGTTACTCCAA